CGTATTTTATAATTAAATGGATTACTTACAATTAAAAGCGTTTCATATATTTTATGGTTTACATCCGGCGTTCGCCTCAATTTGGAATTTTTAATGCAATTTTCATTTAATTACATTTTTAAATTGTACCGCATTATGTAGGAGTTTTCCCTTAATTTTTTCATTAAATATTAACTGGCAACACTTTAATAAGTATTTCTCTAACTAAGTGGATCAAATAACTCTCATTATGTGAATTTAAACATAATGACGTCATTAGTTAATTCTCTTCCATATAAATATACATATACGTAAAGACATATTCAACAGTTTCCATACTAAAATTTCTGTTTCAAGCTCTTTTTTTTTTTAAAAAATTTTAAATGATTTGTTATTTTAGTTAGTGTTAGTAAAAAAAAATAAAATCTTGTTTTTAATAATATACAAAATTATGCACTTCTATTTTAATTGTGTTGTTGATACAGGACAGGTAACATAAAATAATATAATGATTTCGCTCTTTTATTTTGTTTTGTAATTTTCTTTTCCTTTCTCTCTAATATAAAATCATATAGTGTGTTTACAATATTTACATCTTCTCTTCTTTTCTTTTTCTCTTTATTAATTTCATTCTCTCTTAATAAAAGAGCTTGATTTCGACAGATACGAAATACAGATACAAAATAATATAGCAATAAGAAAAATGAATAGAAGCGATTTATCTATTTAGTTTCAGTTTTACCATCGTATTCCAATTTAATTTAAATGGACTATGCCTATAAAAGTTGAATTGTCTGCCTTTATGAATTCTCTGAAATGTTATCAAAATAATAAAAATGAAAAAAAAAGAAAAACAAAAAAACATATGTTGTAGGTAGTAGGTACACGTACAAGAAAAACATTGTTTAAAATGTTATGCTAACAGTTCTCATAAAACGTTATGAGAAATTCCACTGCAGCAGAAGTAAATAGAAATCTCATTTGTTTTTTGTTTTCTTTAACAGTTTAGTTTATGTCGAGAGTTTGTGAATTAAGGTCGATATCGGGAGTACATTAGTGTTATATAGAGAAGATTAAAATTTTTCTTCATAATTTATGAAAATTTTACCAAAAAAAAAATTAATGAAAATTTATAATTGGGTAAATTTAAAAATTGTGCATTAATATTTTGCCTACAGTTTGTTTGTTTAATTAATTATTTATTTTCATGATTTTTGGATATTAAAACTCGAAATAATTAAATTTTAAAAATAATAGTAAATACTCAGATGTTTTATGGTTTTTTTTTATTATGTTCGAACATATGTGTATGTGTTTTTAAAGTAAAATACTGTGAAAAATTTGTTTACGTACTTTTTTTCTACATGATTTTTGAATTTTTAATTAGGTAGAGTAAAAAATAGAGTGTTTTTTTTTTAAATTATTATCTATTGTAATTTTGAGTACATCAAGTGTTTTTTAAAATTTTAATAATTTTATTTTTAAAAATAGATTTTTAAAAAATAAATAAATAAAATAAACAAATGTTGGAATACAATTTTCTATTTATTTTTCTATAGAATTTTGTTAATACCAATGAAAAAAAAAATTAAACCACGATTGAAATATTATGGAAAAACCCACATTTCAGTGTCAAACACAGTGATTCAAAATATTATTAAATTAAAACACAATATTAATTTGCATATAGTCATTAAACTTGTATTGAATAATTGATAATTTGGCATTTCTACCATATTTTTTTTTTGTTTACAAAGTAACTGTGAATATTCAAGTTTATTGCTATTGGAGAAGAAATTTTGAAAAGTGAGAGAATGACAAAAATTACAATTAAAATTGAAAAATGTTGTTTTAATTTGATTTTTTTACAATAACGTAAAAAAAAATTTCTTAAAATAATTTTCTTTTACCTGTTGCTCTACGAAAATATTTTTCGAAAATCAAATTTTAAATTGTAATTCTTGTTTTCATCTTTGCCTTCATTTATAATTTGAGTGCACTGACTGACAGTTTAATTGTTATGATTAAAATTGAACGCATTTAAAAAAAAAAGTAATTTACCACTTTTGTTTACAATATTTTGTTATGGTTTCAACAGTAAAAAATTTTTGTGTTGTATTTGCTTTGATGTTTTTTTTAAAATTTCTTTGTCATTTCACTTGTATAAGTAATTAAGTATAGCAGTAAGTAGCACTGGATCGTGTATATTAAAAGTTCACCTAAACATGTTAAGAATAAATTTACACAATAAAATATTTTAAAATATTGAATTAAAAAATATAAAAATAAAAAAATGAAAAGCATATTACTTAGTGACTTACCACAAAAAATTTGAAATACAATAAAAGAAAAATATATGTAGGTACATACATACATATGTACATATGAAAAATGTCTCTGACCCGGTTCATTACATCAATCATCGAAATGAAAACAAGTGATTTGTAAAAAGCGCGCAATTTTTTTTTTTTTTCAAATTGTAAACTAATATAAAAAAGTAAACAATTCAACTTAAGCATAATTTTCTAGAAAAACTAATAGCATATTGAATTTAAAGTATGAAAATAATTTTTATATAAAAAAAATAAATAATAAATAAATATAAAGACGAATAAATTCAATTGTTTTAAAAATTGTGTAAATTTTTTTTGTTGACAAGGTGTTTACTTTTAATTCAATATTGATAAAAATTTATATTCTATAAGTAATTTGGTTTTTAAAGTATTTTAGTACCAACTTTGAATATTTGATGCTCGCAATAATAATACGAATGAAATATTGAATAATTAATTGGGAATTAATCTTGATCTTGTAGAAAGTTATGCTGTTACTATCTGAGAATTTAATTTATAATCATAAATGTGATTTTTTCATTTAACCAGCAGAGTTTTTACAAGTAACACTGCTAAAAGACTTAAGTGACATCACAGCTAATTAGATTAAAGAATTTGAAGTAAAATTTTAGAAAAATAGTAACATGCTTATGTTCAGAAGTATTTTGTTGATGAAATTTAATTTATTTTAAAAATATTTGCTTTTTATAGCAAATATTTTTAAAATATAAAGCTAAATACCTTTCATATTAAAAATATTAATAAAATATAGAAAGACTTCAAATTACGGTCAGAATTTTATTAAGAAAATTTCATTTAGATATTGGGGCACAACTATAATTTATTGTAACTCAAATTAAGAGCCTGATCGTGTATCTAGCTTCTTTGGCTCGCCAAATGATAAAATAGTGAGTAACTCTCTTATATTTGTATTTAACGTTATTTTCGAACGAGAAAAATTATTCCGTAATGCGTAACTTATTTTTTTCTAAAATGTATATAAGTACTTATAAGTAAATAAAACATATTCACTTTGTTTTTGAGGGCGAGACACGTTCAATCGAATTGAGTAAGTAATCTTATTCTTATTTCGACTGAACATCTTGGAAAATAAAATATCAATTAAAAAAATGGAGAATTCTAATTTGAAAGTAAATAAAAAGTGTGATGAAAAAACGAGATGCACGATTAGGCTGTAAGTATGTTTTCGACTTTACTACGGTTATACCTGATTGTAAGAATCGACAACATGAACTCTAATTAAATACATTTTTAAAGTACGAAATTTTATATAAGAAATTTGTACTTTTCTTTTAGAGCTTTTCAATAGTGATTTGCTTTCTTTCTTAAATTGATTTTTTTAAATTATTTAATCAAAATTTTATTTAATGTCAAACTAGAATGGCTGCTAGCTGTATTCAAATTCAATTCTTACAATTTTTTTATACAATTTTTATTTAAGTATTTATTTTTTTGAATATTAAAAATAAGAACTTGTTTTTGCAATAAGTTATTTATCTTATTGATATTTATTTAAAAATATAGCTAGTATATATAGGTGCGCGTGCTAATACTCTATTCTAAAGTAAGAAAAACTTAAGACGACAATTAAAATTCTGAGGCAACTTAAGTAAAAAAATATTAATAACTTACTAATTTTTATAAAATATTTAAAGTATGGTACATTATCTTAATCATATTATTAGAATTCTATGTTTGTATCCGTATTTAAAACGTCACTGTCACTTAAATGTGTTCGAATTTTATATACTTATACGTATATTATAATAATACTACTAACTACGACTAGTATAAAATTAAAAATAAAAATGTTGTCAATCAGGTTTTTTTTTTTTCATTAAGCTTGAAATATTTTGTATATTTTTTAAAATAAAATTAAGTTTCAAAACAGAATAAGTGATAATTTCTTTGTTATTCCACAGATTAATATGCTTGAATGTTTTCTCTCCATTGGCGATAAGCGATATTTTAATACAAAAATAATAATTCATTACTTATACATACATGAGTAAAAATAACTATAAATACATAAGTACTAAACTTATATATTATTAAAATTTTGTATATTTTAGTTTTCTTTACAGTAATGAGAATGAACTGTGAATGTTAATTTTACAATAATTTTCAAATATTTCGAGGAATAGCAAAATATACTTAAATGATTTTGATATTAAATGATAATTAATTTAAAAACAAGAAAATAATAATTATTTGTGCTTACTTTTAATAAACTATAAATAATAACCGGTAATTTAAAGAACTTTTCAAATTTATAGTAAAAAATAGAAGAGTAAAATACTTGACATGGACATACAAATTATTCTATCTCAATTTAAACAGAACTGATTTAGAAACTAAGAATATTATACAAAAAAATTTTAACTAAGATTGCTGATTTTAAATAATAAGTACATTAAATAATTTCTTACAATAATAGTTGGCTTTTAAATCTATCAAAATTAATAAATTTAATAAAAAAAAATTTAAAAAAATATTTTATTTTATTTTATTTTATGTATAAGAACGTATGAAAGTGAGACATTTTGATAAAAATACAAAGAAGAATAATAAATTAATTGTCTTAGTTTCATAATGATAATGAGAAAAAATAAATTTCATTATTTTGCATTTATTAAATGACTCAAAAGTTTAAAATATAAAGTGAATTAAAATAAAATTTTTTAATAATATAAGGAACAAACCCATTTCCGAAGCTTGACGAAATTAAATAATAAAATTTCCATAAAATAATTGATTAGAAGTGATAATTGAATGAATAATTTAAAAAAAATATTGTGGATTCTTAAAATATTAGAAAGAAAATCTGGATAATTTAAAAAAGTTTTGCAATCAACAATATTTGGACGAAGATTGTAAGAGGAGCACAATTTTAAGGTAAGAGAATGTTTAATAAACATAAGATCATTGTTATCAAACAAACAAATCTTACCGTAAACGCTGTATAGCTTACGGATGTGTGTATGTTAATGTCTTAAATTCCTATTAGCATCTGGTCTGCAATATGAGTCTACAATCTATTAAAATTAGAGGTTAATGTAAAATATCTTTAATATGTTAACGTATGTATTGTTGCATCAGAACAAAAATTTGTTCTACTACGACAATAATTCATTTGTGTGTAAAAAAATTGCTGTCACTAGTTCAAATTTTCTCCATGAAAACGATGTGTAAAATATTTTTCCTCAAAAAAAAAAATTTAAAAAATGACATTTAAAAAAAACGTTATTTTGTTTTAAAAAATAATTCAAATTTTTTTGTTATGTTTTGTTTATTCAATATGAATTTGTGAATGAAAAAAATAAATTTTCTTAAATATTTCCGAAATACAAAATAAAAACCATATGAGATTGTCCAATCGGCCGTTCACTAGTTGGAGGAAAATTACAATTTTTTTTTTGTGTACTAACACACCAACCTTTGAAAATCCCCCATGAATTTGCGATATAGCGATGCACATTCTTTTATGTATCAGTAAAAAATATTTCCTATAGCAGTGATTGCCAAAGTGGTCTATATAGAACACCAGGGGTCCATGAAGATGAGTTTAGGTTTCCTGCTAGGGGTCTACAAAAAATATGAGTTTGATTAAATAAGTATTAAGAGGGGGTCAAAAGTTAAAAAACACGAAAAGGGGTCTGCAATGGAAAAGGGTTTGGGAGCCTCTGTCCTATAGTATACCTAATTCAAATCAAATTAGATTCTCCTAAAAAATTGAGTTAATTTGCAAATATCCTATTACATATGTATGTATGTATACAAAATGTAATAGCGTGTGTTAAATATTATAAAATTAATTTTGAAGTTATTGAAAAGAATCAAATGTATTTTTATTTTTGGCCAATAGAGCATGTTTATCAAGTTTTTTCAATAAGCTTGTTATTCAAGTAAATTTTTTTTTTTATAAATTTAAGCAAGTGTGTCTTTAAAATTTATATTTTCGTATATCAAAAACAAATACGTAATTAGCTGATGTTGTTTAGAATGAATTTTATAAGCTTAAAAAAATCTTTAATAAATTTTTGATATAAAAATATGAAGTCGTAAGATTTGATTAAATTAAGTACTAAAATTTAAAAGAACTGCTGTTAATTTGCGTTATTGTTAATTAATTAACAATTTCATTTTTATTGCCACCTAGTTATCAAAAGATTTATAGCGGCATATGAGTATTTTTTTAAATTTTGATTACATACTTATTGTGTTTAAAATTTTCATTCTGTGCTATTTAAGAAGTTTTGTTGATTTTAAATTTTAGTAAAAGATAATTTATACCTACATAGATTTGTACGTATGTTTTGTTGATATTCTCATACTTATATATACACGTAATTATTGGTTACTTTTGAACAAACATTACAAGAAATATGGTTGTTACGACGTCACCAAGTTAACATCTTGAAAATCTTAGATTATGAGACATTTCGTTACTTGCTAGAAAACTTTACTATTAATTCTTAATAATATTCCGAAATATTCTTGATTTGGTTAGAATTCTTACATAAACGCAAGTTGCTTTAAGAACATGATAAGTTTTTTTTAAATAATATCTTCTCTAAATCTTCAAGGAGACAAGATAAACTGTTGTTAAAAAGAAATTTGAAAGGTTCTCAATATTGAATTAAGATTTATTTTTTGATAATCAATAGCTATTTATAGAAATGGCACGCCAGAATTCTTATGAAGGCTAGATACAATTGATTAGTTGCTATCTAAAAAGGGTGTGAGTTAAATTGTATGAAACTTAAGTTTAATTATTTATTTACTTTAAAATGATTTTTTGTATAATATTTAACAAGTTTTAAAAATTTTAAATTCGGAAATTTTAAACTTTTTTAAAAGAAATTTGATTTTTTAAATTTTTTCAATATTTTAAGAGTATAATAAGATGCTTATAAACTTACGGGTTTCATGTTGATATTATAGAAGATAAATTGAATAAAATAAAATTTATTTTCACATTTACATCTCGCACATTTGCGAGAGCAATGACATAAGTCAAAATGCAGAATTGTATAGTACAGAAAATTTGTTCATATAAGTACTTGTAGAATTGTTCTATACCAACTTTTTTTAGCCTTCGATAGTAATTTCGCACTGGACTATAAATACTTTAAATTCCGGATGCCGAAGTTATGTTTTTGAGTTGTGTTGTTATTCTTCCCAATATGCGATATGTATGTACTTGCACACACATTTTTATATATACACATAAGTGTAAAAGTTTGTACATATGTAAGAAAACGTTAATGTAGGTCTACAGTTATGAATACATTTAAAAAGATTAAAAAAAAGAATGCTGTTAAACTATAAATAAAACCGAAAAAATTTACAAGCAATGCCATCTTTTAAAGAAATTTGTAATACAAAAGTATACCTGTAAATTTTAAAAATTTACTTATACTTATTTTTGGTTAGATCAGAACGCTTAACATCGAAGAAATTCTAAAAATATAATTTTTAAGGTTAATACCACAAAATTTGTTATTCTTGAATACACCACACCCGTTCTGCACTAAAACTAAACAAAATGTTGTTTTTTAACACAAGGTAAAAGTTAGTATGTAAGTATGTCTGTTGTGCTTGTATATTTAACATATAAAAAATAAAAATAGAATTTAGAAGAAAGCCGGCTATAAACCGTTTTCTGTTTTTTGTTTTGTTGATTTTTTAACCATAAAAAAAGTTCATTTTCTCTTATTTTTTTCTTCTCCTATTTTTTTTTTGGCTTTTAAAATTTTCTTCTAATACTTTTGGGTTTTGGGTTATTCAGTTTTAAATAAATTTTCTTCCAACCGTTAAGTATATACCTATATTTTGGTATTTGTATATAAAATTTTTGTTCTCCTTATTCAAACAATGATGATGATCTTCTGAGAAATTTTTGTAGCGGAAAACATCATAACAAGCCAACAACAAAAATATGATGGTCATTTATGCGTTAAGTTATGATGCGGAGGAAAACACCGAAAAATTGTTTTCCAATTTTCAGGTTCACTGATTTTTTTCTCATTTTGTCTTGCACATTACCACTAAAATTTTGTATCTAGACTTATGAATTTCGGTTAGATAATTGTGAATAAAATAAGTATTAGAATTATTGTGTGTATTAGAATTTAAAGATGCAAGTCAGAATTTCGTTGCGGCGAGGATTTCCGAGGTAGCGGACGGGTTTATTTAATTAACTTATGTTTATTAACAGAATTCAAAATTAAAAATTTATTGGCGACCTCTTTTAAAGAAGGGATATACGCAGCATCACTGGCATAAAATAATTTTGCGGCGAATGTCTACATCTACGCTTTTTTTTTCTAAGGAAGTTTAGATTGAGTTAGTATATTTGATGATTCTATATAAAGAATGATTCTGCCAAAGCTTGGGTGATGTTATAGGTAAAACCGAATAAATGTTTGTCTATAACTCTGTCTACAAAAACTTTGTTTACTTACACATTGTTTGTGTGTTGAAATATGGACTTTCTCTAGTATTCGTTTAATTTTTTTTTTATTTTTAAGAGTTGGGATTTTTTTATTTATGTGTTCGCTTTATTTTATGTTTGCATTAAATTTGAGGGTCTCAATTTTCTTTTTGTATTTCTTTTTTTTTATTGTTTTAGTTGCATTCATCCGAAATAATTCAAAGGTATAAAATATAATTAAGTAACCTTAGGAAATTTGAAATTTTTTTTTTTTATTTTCTGTTTTTGGTAAATATTAAAAGAGAAAAAAATGACACAAAAATAAACAAAATAAAATTTAAAATATAAACAGACAAAGTCTGTCATATGCGTTTGATTGTTAAGTATAAAAATATTTTTTTTTTTTAGTTTTTTTTGTCAACTGGAGGATGTGTCTATTATAACTACTAAGTATGTTTGTTTATTTATATTATACATATGTACATGCAACATACGTATACATAGGTATGTTGGTCCTTGGTTGTATAATTATTAAATAATTATGATGAGAAATTTTTTCTTATGTTAATAATAATTTCCTGTTAAAAGCAACGTTTCATATTTCTATTATGCTGTTGAAGTAAATGAAGATGTCAGTTTAAAAAGAAATTTGGTCCGACGATTTATTCGTTTAGAGACCGTGACAATACAAGAAATTTTATTTTGTCGCAATGCACTATTACTTAACTATAAATTTCGGTTTCCGTATATATGTTAATGTAAATATAACATAAGTACATATATGTACATATATGCACATACGTGCATAAATTGAGTTTTAATATGTCAGGCTTTCACAAATTTCTATATAATTTTAAAAGTATTTTGAAAAATTTAGTGTTTTTAATAGAAATTCATTTACTTTGCATAAATATAATTATTTGAGATTCATAAAATGCATATTGTTTATTAATTTTCGAATTAAGAAATTCTGAATGAGAGTGTTGTTGAAATGATGTAAATTTCATTGCAAATTTGATTTCGATTAGTAATTAAGTAAATTTAACCGCAGTTTTCTTAACAAACGCTCTTCGGAAAAATTCTCTGGGCTTCTTTTAGAATACTGATGAAAACTGTTATACACGCGCTCAAAAGCTTTTCTTCACGAAATTTTAATAAACTTCAAAAATTAAATTTGATTTGTAACTTGGGGGCTCTTCATATTTCACGTATTTTTTTCTTTAATAAAATATTTAATTATTTTTATGATTATACATTATGTACTTATTGTATAAGTGCATAAATTTAACTTAATGAATATTTAGCTGAATAATTTAAAATACTTTCTTACTCTTATAATAAGTTGTGTTAATGTGACTAAATCATAATAATTTACTGAATTTTACTAAGTACAATTTTTCAATGCACATTGTTTTATTCCTGTTATATTAGGCGAACAATCGCTCAACATACATGTACG